GATCAATGTTTCTCTCTCATCGATGTTTCTAACTCTCTATCCCTCTCCCTTCCTCTCTGTAAGAAATCAATAAAATATATTTAAAAAAAAAAATGACAAAGACAGCAGGAGGAAGAGACCGGAAGGAAGGATGAGATCTACATGTGATGACTCTGAAATACCTCCTGGAAATTTAAGCAGAGATGTTGAGTAGGCAGCTGAGTATGTAAGTTTGGATTTCAGAAGGGAGGTCTGGACTAGAGATAAACATTTTGGAGTCACTAACATAAGGATTAACTTAGAAAACATGAGATTAGATTAAAGCGATCACGAAGACATTGAGTGAATGAGTCTACATTCTATTATTCAAACTCCTTGGGGCCAAGGTGTGTTACAGAATTCAGAATATTTCAGATTTGGGAAAAAAATAATGTAACATTCCCAATGAGATCTTGGGAAGAAGCATTTTTGTGGAAAAAAATATGAATAATCACTCTAGGGTGGGCTAAAGACTATAAACAGCCTCATGCTATCTTAGGTCAGGTTTTGTCATTGACTGAGTTTGGGTTAAGTAAGGTCTTGCTGCCAAAGAAGTTATTAAATAATTTGGATTTTGGTGTTATAGACAAATGGATTTCGGATTTGTAGGTAAGAAGAGATGAGAAAACCAAAAGGAGAAAGATCAGCCAGTGAAGCATGATGAAATCCAAGAGAGAGTAGCAGCCCTACCCCTACCCTCCTAGAAGTGATGGGAAAAGAAGTTTCAAGAAAAGAGGGAGGGACTACCTATCAAATGTGTCAAAGGAGAATGAGAATTAGATTTGGGAACATGGACACTGGTGACCTTACCAGCCCAGAAACACAGCTGCTAAAGGAACCCAACTATTTAGGGATTATTTCTAAAACAACAGGGAAAACTTTGAGGATCACAAGACTTTTAATTGAACCCCCAGTTAAAATTCCCTAATGAAGACTGTGCTCCTACTTGATATCCAGAGTAAACCTGTTTAAAAAAAAATGAATAAAATGTAAGAAACACATTGACATATATTCCAAAACCTACCAGACTGATGGTGAAGAAGAATCACTGAATCTTATTTCTTTGGATACGTATTTAAAATTAAAATCTTTGACTACAGGACTAGAGAGTCTAGGAGCTTTTTTAAAAAGGGCAGGGTGGGCGTCTCATAGCTCTCTGATGAATCAGAAGCAGCGAGATTATTCCTCTCTTTTCCTGACACCTGTTACAGGGAGTAGCTTCAGCAACACCAAGTGGATGGGTATGGCCTGAGAAGGTATAATTATGTAAGAGCCAAAAAATAATTACTGCTTGGTAGGGAAAAAATCCATCTCAATCCTGCTGTGAAATCAGATATAACTCAGAAATCAGATAGAGCTCAGAAATCACATATCCTTCTCCAATTACACAACAAATTATACAAAAGCAGACTTAACAGAAAACAGAGATAGAGTCAGGAACAGTACTTGTTATATGAATCCATTTGGTGTAAATCCCATGAGTCAGAGATACATGAGTCAGTAGTGAATACACTGTAATAATAATTGAAGATTATAGGGTTGAATTATAATTAATTTCCAAATATGATTATTACATACTTTTTATGTAAAAGTCCAGGTTAAAAAAAAAAGATGAATTGTATAACAAAATGAGCACTTTGGGTCAAACTTGAATATCATAGTAATAAAGCTGGGGAAATTTGGAATATATAGAAGTCTGGGACGTACCATTAGGGAACGGCAAAGATCTCACTTGGTGACCACAGGCATATGCTTAGTAAGCAAAGTTGTTAGAAGATACGCTAAGACTCCTGTTTTGTATGATCAAAAGGTCATCAAAGTGAAAGTATGTTCAAAGAAAAATGATAATTGTACAAGAAATAGATAATTTTTTTAATGCCAATGTCCAGGATTAGGTGAAAGCTCAGCCACACACAACTGTGGGAGATAAAATACCAATAAGGGTTGCCACCAAAAGATATATCAAGGGAAAACTTTTAGAGGAAGGACCCTAATGGAAATGCACATATCCTATAGCTGATTAGCTTCAAGTTCATTTCAGTAGAAAGAGCATTCTCAATATAACCACTTATACATATTAACTATGAGAATGAATGACAAGAGCTTTAAAAATAATCATGTGAATATTGTATAGTGTTCTAACATCTAATGAATCATCAAATCTGAGTTCTATGTTCACTGTTATTTTCCTTTGTCTTTTCTCTACCATTACAGTTGACTGCTTATTGACTAACTGCTGCTTACTCCAAAAACTTAATTTCACAAATCTTCACAACACTCTATCTTCCAAGGAAAGGTATCTGACCTAACTAGTGCCTCTCAGCGATTTTTTCATACTATCTTCTATTCATTCAAGTAACTATGGGGGCTCAGAGAGAGGGAAAAAATAGCAAGTTTCGGGGAATAAATGGTGAATAAATATAGAAACATCATAACTTTTAAAAAAAAGAATTACGTCAATAGACAAACAAGAGTCTGTTAGAACTTTTCAGAAACTTCTGTGCTCTAGCCTCTGTACAGCTTGACGGGCACCTGCTCCATTCTTGGCTCGAAGGTCCCCAGGACAAATGCTGGACACTAAGAATGTCTGCTGGCATGACCCAAGCAAGGGGAGGGTGATGTGTACCCGTTACTGCTAATGCCCTTGGAAAGTGAATTGAAGAACAGATACCACATTCTCCAATACCAAATCTAGATCCCTATTACATACACTAACATTGGAACTGGGCTCTGAAGCTAAGGTGACTAATTTTTTTCAGGTTTTTAAGTCTGGAGAAGAACTTCCAGGGATCTGGAAGGAAAGGGAAATGACAGAGTCCAACCTACCTAACTTTGAAATAAGCAATACTTCTCTCTCCTCCCTATTCTTCTTCCTAAATAACCAACAGATTCAAAATACCACTTTGTAACTTTATCAGTCAAGAGAGGGCTATGGAGAATTGACTAACGTGTAGAGAATGCTGTGGAGGTTATGGCCCACATCCCTAGTATCTTACAATTATCTGCCTACATAATCCAACCGCCCTCCTATTTCATTCTGTTTTCATTCTTCTAGGTTTTTTTTTCCTAAGCATATGGGCATCCATTTAAAAAAATACAGTAATGATAATAATGTATATATGCACCATTGAACATCCCTGCATATATTACTGATTTTATACTTAGAACACAATCTTTGACAATAATATTTGGGGCCAAAAGATTTGTGAATTTTTAAGATTCTTCATATGTATTAACAAAACTACCCTACAGAAATGTTGTGCCAATTAATTATCCTACTAGCAGAATAGTGAGGTGCTTGTTTTTTTTCTACCCTTAAGCTCTGAATATGTTGTGTTTTAGTAACTGCAAAAAAGTAGGGGAAGGTGGAATTCTGCTCCTTTATTTTGTCTTTTGTAAGCTGTCTGATAATGATTTTCCCATTTTTCTACCATGAGAGGAAAGTTCAACTTTTTTTTGATTTGTAAGAGTTTTAAAATATATTATAGATAGTATGCATTTGCCACGATTATGGTTCTAGTTAAAAAATATGAGTTCAACTGTACAGTAATATAGGAACTTAGCGCAATAAGCAATGCCACACAAAAACTATCATATCAGCTAAGTAAAAAGACTTTGTAGTTAAATATAAGGAATCACTTCTGTGACTCCGACATTGGTACAACTATAGTAACAATAACAAAAATAAGAACTATTGCCTGATGCATTGCAAAATACAGTTTGTTATTATCGTATCTCGTGTGTAAAAATTCCAATAGGTTGTATTCTGAAAAGCTTACATTGTTCTGCTTAGGGTTTTCCTGGCTCTCCACAAGAAGAAAAACAAAACAAACCACATTGTGAGGCTGCTGGTCCTCAGCTTCTTTCTGGTAGAGAATGTTTATACCAGAGGCCTCTGAGGTCTCTTCCAGTTCGAATGTTCTAAAGCCGATGTGAGGGCATCACGCTAATATGGCTAATGTGCTGAAAGAGCTTTCCTAATATTAAGTTTCAAAGGCAAGAAATAGCCTCAGCTACAGCCCACAGTTCATATTACACGAAATGGTTGAGAGGCTCAAAATACTGACCTGATAGTACGTTCGTTCACTTAAAAGTGGTTTGATCTTGAGATATGTGCTGATAGAGAATTCTACTACATGCAGATATACAATAGTTCAGAGGCAATGTTCTGCTAGGACTTGTTGGCAGTGAAAGCAGGCGAGGGATTGCACTAGTGGTCACGGTAAACCCAAGCGCGAGCTTACCTGGAAGATCACCACCCGGAACTTGTTTTTCTTCATTATCTCCTCTTGCTTCGTTTCCACTTTCGTCACGTGAACCTGCTGCTTCTCTACCCGGGCCTTCACGTCCTTAATGTGAGCACTGACTTTCCGGGTTTTCTCAAACAACTTGTTAATGACATAGCCTGTGTTGCTGTGTGACTGCGAAAGCTTCAGCAGGTCGATCTGGACGGACTTGATGGAGTTTTCCATCACCCGGTGCCTCTCTTCTATTCTCTTCTGGCTCGCCTGCACTCTGTCCACGATGGTGGCAACTTTGTCCAGCACCGTCACGATGGTCAGGGCAGCGTCTTGGTCTTCATCTTCGGCCATACCCGACAGGCGGTTCTGGTGGATCTTATCGGCATTTGAAGCAGACCCATTATGTTCCATTTTACTTACTTCTCAGCTACAGAGGGCCTCCCACAACCAATTCCGGCACTTCGAGCAAACAGCTTGATAACAGGCCACGGGGTTGTTTAAAGGGTTGGAAGCCCCACCCCTGGAGACTGGTCAAGTATTTATAACTACAAATGCCCATACGTGACTGTTCTGCAATATGAGCCCTTGCAGAGCACTGGGGACTGTTCCAAACATGCTTACGGACTGACTAAGGGACTCAAATAAGACTGTGTGGGTAGAAGAGAAAAGCTTTTTGCAAAAAAGCTCCCGGAAGCCACCATGTTGCTAATATTAAGCCTAGAAGCCCAGTGACCAAAAAAGCGAACTCCAAATGTTGGGTGAGCCTTTTGCCTTTAGGTAATTTCCAGCAGCATTTGTAAAAGCAAAGGGGAATTGTGAGCAAAACTCTGCTTTTTCTATGCATTTCACTGACATATCGAAGAATGTAGTAAATAAACACACCAAAACAAAGGCCATATAGTGAAAACACTATATTATGACATGCTTTTCCAGATCAAATATTAAAATTAATATTCCATTTTGAACATCTTAAATTCTACATGCATACTTCTGAATATCTAAACTACACGTTAAACAGCTGAATACATTCTACTCGCACTTCAGATCTTGAAACACTGACAATCTATTATTATAGCTATTACTACAGGACAAATTTGGATAGAGGTCTTAGGTAATTTTTAAGCTCACTTTAAGAGCACCAATCATTAGTCATTTTTGCATTTTATTCACAAACACTGATACAATTATTTATGTTAAAACAAATCTTTTCTTTAAAAGTTAATGTGTATTAAAGTAGTTTAACTGAGAGGGTAGGCTTTATTCCAGTCTGTTTGTTAAACAGACTATGTTCACAATGTCTAAATCTACTTTCCAGTGATCTGTCCCATCATTGCTACCAGATACTTTTTTGAGTTACCAGAATTATTTTTTCAAAGGAAGGAATAATCAAATTCCAGTCCATACATCTTATAAATATTTTACACCTAACACACACGGCTTTACAGTTCATGCGATAGGCAGTGTCTAGAAAAACAGTTACTAAATCTCAAAACATTTAAATGTCTATTTAAACACAGTGTCTTCTAAAATTTGTTTTGTAAGAAAAGTAATCTGTAAACATCTTTACCTTTAGTTCATGCTTAGTCATTTGCTGTGGTCATTGTGGAAGAAGTGGGTATGACTTTACAACCATTTGTGAAGTGGTCCACCTTTGCAAAAATATTACATTCCATGGGTAAAGAACGAGTCTTAGAATTACCATGTGGTACAAATTTATGAAATCAATTTCTGTCTTTAAAAACATAAAACAAAGACTACTAAACAGTCCAAAACTGCTGTAGCTGAATATTCTAAATACGAGCCAACTGTACTACACTAAAAATGTCCAAAAATAAGGCCTCTGAAATAAATATTTCCATTCTTTAAAAAAAGACATAATAAATGTACATCACATGGTCAGTGTACATATAAAAGCCATCGTTTTAAACCATCCTGGAGGACGTATCCGAAGTAAAATGACCTAGGTTTTGCTTCTGTCGTCGTCCTCTATTGTTTTTAGGGCATTTTCTGTTGAGTTAAAAAAAGAAAAAGAAAAATGTCACACATAGAAACGTATTGCATGCCCTCCCACGGAAGGGAAGCAGGACGCTACTTGATACAAGACAAGGTGAGGACCCAACATGTCAGACTGCTATCTTCCTGACAAAATGGGGAGGTGAGAGGGTTAGATATACGATGCAGGTCTGGACATGTGCAAAATTCATTTCCAGGGTCTCTATTGCTGACTTGCATCTCCAAGAGGAATCCCGCCCTTCCTCTGGCCAGGCAACCCCCCCCCCCATCTTTCCACTCAGCCCCCACCCCCGCCCCCTGCCAGAAACTGATAACATATAAACCTGGGATAATAAAAAAGGATCCTGGCCTATCTACTTTCCCTGAACATTGACACCCCCAAGATGATAAGAACAGCTTAGATGAAGGGAGAAATCAGGAAGAAAGATGCCTATTTAACCTCCGATAGGAATACATAGGAAATGCCTAGAGATTTTAGGCAATGACTGCAAGTCGTTCTACACCCTGCTTGGGCAAACCACAGAACCCAATAAAGTACAGCCATGCTGTGGGTGAGGGGAATTCCTGGACCCTGCTCTCATTTTACTGTATGTGTTTCTCCAGGTCGTATAAATCTCATCGTGCTGTAACTGTGTTTGTGCCTGTCCACAGAATGCAAACATATGAGCTCTTATTGTGTCTGCACAAAGCACTGTGCTACACAATGTGGGATAAAGGGACTGGGATGAGTTCTGGTAATGTTGAGCTTGAGCTCTGCTAAAAACTAGCTGTGCAACCTTCTTTTCCTATACGTAAAATTTTAAGAGTTCGACTAACTTCTAAAATCTCTGCCAGCAAGAAATTTATTATCTAGCCCTGGCTGGGTGGCTCAGTTGGTTGGAGCATTATCCTGTACACCAAAAGGTTGCAGGTTTGATTCCTCATCAGGGCACATACCCAGGTTGCAGGTTTGATTGCCGGTCAGGACACATACGGGAGGCAAGGGATCTCTCTCTCTCTCATCAATTAAAAAACATGTCCTTGGATGAGGATACAAAAAAAAATTTAAGTAATTTATAATCGAATGGAAAGAAAGTCTTGCATAATGAGTACTCCTAAATTTCCATGTTTTTAGTCAATTTCAAATAGCAATGCGTTCGTTGCCTTGTTTTAAAGGCCTTGGTGGTAACACTTCTATTTTATATATTATTTTTCACAAATGTTATCTCATGAATCTTCATAAAAACACTCTGAGATAGTGCTGGAATCATCTCTATTTCCTAAATGAGGAAATTGGTTGAGAAGTCAAGCGACCCCTCTCTTAATTGTCACTAATTCACTATGACCTGGAAAAGTTCCAACTCCCTGAGGCCATGGCTTTTTCATCTATAAATTAAGGGGGTTTGTCTAGGATGATGTCCAAGGTCCCTGCCAATCAGTCATTCTATGAGTCAAAAAACCAAGAAAATAGATTCCAAGCATAAAAGAAAACAATGTTACTCATGCAGTCTTGATGAGTGGGTCAGCGGGAACATCCTTTTAAAGGAAGATTCCTTGCATGTAACAGCCACCATGGGATAAGTGAACAGCTGCTCCATCATGGACTGCGTGGGAGAGGCAGTCCCTAAAAATTCAAAGGAGATAAGTCCAAGCAATCTATATATATAAAGGGCTAATATGCAAAGTGTCCCCTCGGGAGTTTGATCAGGAGTTCAATCGCTCACTATGACCACCAGGGAGTGGCATGGAACATGGCAGGCAACCAGCGGCAGCGGGGCACTGAGGGAGCGAGGGAAGGAGGAGGCGAGGAGGTGGGGAACCTGATCGGCCCTGATCGCAGGCCAGGCCTAGGGACCCTACCCATGCGTGAATTTTGTGCACCAGGCCTCTAGTTACAATGATAATATTCCAAATCCAAGAGAGCAAGACATTCTAGGAGAGGAAATACCAGAATAAAAAGACAGGCCTCAAGGACAGACTTATAATAAATCAACGAGATGACCCTTTGGTCATGGAGACCTGTGGGTGGTAAAGATACGGTAACACAGTTAAAAATATACTGTGGTGTCCAAGTGTCTGTGAGGGCAGCAAATGGGTCTGTGGTATAAACTGGAGGGTATTAACTTGAAAACTACAAGCCAGATAAGTTAATATAGTAGCTGAGGATTACAGCACACGGAGAACAGCAGCACAGAGCTGGATAAAAGGCTGGATTAGGATTTGTACACGGGCTTAATGTCCTCTCTGATCTTGGGTAAGATACTTCCCATCCCAGGACTGCAGTTTCCTCGTTTCTCTAGATTCTAGAGTCTAAAACAAAGGGGTTGAACTAAAGTTGCTTCCTGCTGACTCTGACATCCTTTGATCTTCTTTAAGATGGCACTATCACTGGGCTTCAAAATCCTCCTTACCTCTACCTTATTTCTTTCACCTTCCAAATCATTTATTACTCCATTAGTCCTTTACTCTAATAATGTCCTAAATGGTCACCCCTGACCTCACATTTTCTCTCCTCCACTGAGTTTTGCAGATGACACTCAAATTAATGCTCTGAAAAAAATGTTTTGTACCAAATACCTCCCCCACTCAAAACCCTGAAAATCAAGTTGGAACCTTGCTCCCGTGTGATGTTCACACTTAGTAAATATATTCCCCAAGATGGTTCAGTGGAAAGAGGAATGGTTTGGGACCCGGGCAGCACTCCACCCAGTCCAGGCCCTTCCACTTACAGACAAATGCCTTAACCCCTGAGAGCCTATTTTAAGTGGCCACAGGCAGGCCTGCTGTTGCCTGTTGTTGTTTTTTTTCCTTCCTATCTTCTCTCTCTGCAGTCATTACTTTTTATATCATTATGTCCCTACTTTCATCTACTGCCCAGTTTTATACTCAGTCGTCTTGCCAAAGGGCAGATCATCTGTTCTACAGAATAAAATCCACTGACTTTACTGCCTGAATTTTATGAAAAATATGTATTACTCAGAGAACACTTTTTTTATTATCATTTCTAGATTTATCATTCCAGCTCCAGATGGCTGAGACTACTGAAGGTCTGGCTGCCATCCAGACCTTGGGTAGAGTCATAAATCCTCTGGCCTGCCAATCTCTGTACTTGATATGCTCCACTCCCCTGCCCGGAATAATGCAGAAAAGTATACGGATGATGTTTATGAAACTTCTGAACCAAACCTTAAAGGAGGTAAGGAAGAGGCAAGCAAGACAAGACACGAGACTGGGAAACATACAGACAATATGAACCTGATTTGCTTTGACTTTTCTCAGGTCCGGGTCAGTTCTGACTTAGATATTTCAGCTCAGCGTGGGAAACACCCATTTTATGCTAACTGCAGTCCAAGTAGTGTTTAATTTGCAGCTTAGTTATGATAAATTCCTATGGTTTTAGTTGTAACATAGAATTTTAAAGTTTAGTAGTCATGACTGTATTCCAGAAAATGAAGTAGTGTTAAGATAATGATATAAGAAGAAAAGCAGTTTTCTTTAACCTCTGGTTTCTTCCTTTCTTGTTATATTTACTACGAATAAAGTATATTCTTAGGACATAAAACACCTTGCAGGTCAGCAGGGCTTGAATACTTTCGGCATGGCTCTTCTGTGTGTGTGCGGACCATTCCAAAGAGTCTGCTCCTACCGTTATTGTCCCCAAGTGCAGTGCTTAGAACCTGCACACCATTCTCAGATCCCTAAATTCCTTTATGCCATTGAATAGCCTCATGCTCCCTCTACCTGCAGCTCAGATAGACCCAAAACCCTGAGAATGAGTTTCTGGCCATCTTCTAAAGAAGCAAGACAGGGAGA